TTGCAAATATTGAAATTTATGATAATTTCATTTTTATGTACTTTTAGGTATGAAAATTTAAGATTTTAAACAGAATCCACTAATTCAAATACAACAACAATCTAAAACGAGCTATTTTATAAGATTTATGAAAACCAAATTTAGCTATTTTAATAAAATATTTCTTTTCGTATCTCGGAGTATTTTGTGAGAATCCATATTCTAAACCAGTAAAGTGGAGCAAGAAAGTTCTTTCTTTTAAAACATTGATTTCCCATTAATGAAGAAAACAAAACAAAAAAATCATAATCCATATTTCTAAACTAATAAAGAAAACAAAAAAAAATCTTTTAAAACATTGATTTGATTTCCTGTTAATGAAGAAAATAAAAGAATCGTATATCTTTAAAAAATTGTGTTTATCCAAGCTGTTATATCCGAGCAATTTCAGGTAATTTTTTATGTTTGAATAATATAGCTTGTTTTCGTAAAAGGTATGATTGTCAAAATTTTTCACATGCAGTACTATTATTTTTGAAGGAATTCAGAAAATTTTAGAGCTTCAGTTTTTTTGTTCCACCAGTGGTTGAGTGTTTAAGACTATCGAGTTCTGGTAGTTGTACCTGGTGTGGGTTCAAGCTTAGGTGAACAGGTTAGCTACATGTTTTTTTTTGGGGGGGGGTTCCCATATGTATAAGATGAATGACCCAGTTTCGGTCATTAAGTCCTCCACGAAGGGATCTCTCCTCTTAGGCAGATAGATAGCCCTCATGGCTTTGGCATATTCAAATAAACTAAAAGTTACATTTTAAATTAATGTTTTATTTATATCTCAAAAAGAAAATAATGCATATTTGTCATTACAGAACAGGCCTCAGTTATGCAGCACTTGGTGAATTTTGCTATCTTAGAAAACAAAACAAACAAACAAAGGGAAAAAAGTCATTTTTAACATAATTGAGGGGAAAAAAAAAAAAAAAAAAAAAAAAAAAACCCTCACTTTTGTTGTAATGCAAGGTTATTTAACAGTATATTTTATTTTAAAATAATGAAAAAAAATAGGAGAAATTGTTTAAAAAGGAATTTATTTCTGTCTTGGCTAACTTCGCCATTTAACTAAGCTAAATTAAAGGAAGTTCAAATTGTTTTTGAAACACACGGGCTGATCACATTCTTTATGATTACTATTTAGATATTTATTTATAGTGAAGTGATTAACTGTTACTGAATAATTCTATCTATAACAACATATAGTTCTCTTAAATTGTGGTAACATTTTAATTTCCAGTGATGTGTTAATTTGTAAAGAAGTGATGCATTTGTAACTGAACATCAGTTTTAGAGTTTAGAATAAAATGCTGCTTTTTTAACCCTTCTGAATAACTTTAGGTTTATGAATTTAATTACTTAAGGCTTATTAAACTATTTTGATTTAAGGAATAATTAAGAAAATATAACATTCTTCTGTAAATTTAAAGAAAATTTGGCATTTTAATTTTTTAATGTGTTTTCTGTTTTAAAATTGATAATTTATGAAAATATTAGTATTATAAGTAAAAATTTTGTTTCTTAACTAGTTATAGCTTTTCTAAATCTCTGCTTGAGAGCAAATTGTACATTCAGAACTTCAAATCCAATCCAAATTTTTTATTTTGTTATGGAATAATCAGTTCCTGGTGTTAGCCTGTTTTTTTTTTTTTTTTTTTTTATCAGTTACGTAAAGTATTAAATATGCAAATATTTGTAAAATACTATTTTTATCAAAGCTATGAATCCTCGTATTTTACTGTTTTTATTAAATTATTTATGTTGTTGTTCAGCCTGTATGTAACTTGCAGGCTAATTTTCTGCACCCCATTGTGAATTTTTTTAACATTAATTTACTGTCATTATTGATCATTGTTTTCCTGATTGTATGTGAATTTTCATGCTTTCATCTGGTAGTATGCACAAAGTGCACATACATACATACAGCGCACATGCGCATGTCTTGTAGGTGAACTCATAGTTTCATGACTTTGATTCTTTGCAAAAGCATTCAGTCTTCTCAGTAACTTGTATTTTAAGGACATAATATTTGATGGGAAACAAAGACAACAATTCATAATGGCATCTTGAATATCTTATTCATGTAGTCTTACATTTTGTCTCAGTATTATGTTGTGTACAAAACTATTTATAAAAGTTAATTTTGAAGTAATAATTTTGAAGTGTATTAATGCTTGCAAGCATTAATACACATCTGAAACATAGGCACGGAATAAGTCTGTTTCTGTTTTATATTATGATTAAAGAGAAAGAGAGAGAAATTTATCCTTTGTAATTAATTTGAGAATTATTAGGTAGGAGTCATTGCCTGATTTTTCTCACCCTCCACTCCCAGCAAAATTGACAGTCTTTCAATTTTTCTTAACACATCACCAGAATAAAAGATAAAAATTATAAAAAAAGGCCTTGTTAAATCTTGCATCCTTAGTATTTAAAATTTAAAAGATCTTCTGACTTCAGTAGAATTTTTAAAGATAAAATAGGGCCTTGAAATCACAGGGAGAAAAATAGTGCTTCTAAAAGAAATTTGATTAGATTTTCCTGGATATCAGCAAAGTAGAAAAATGTAAAATTAGCTATTTGTTTTGACCATATGTATTTGAACACTAAGTGAAGCATATTTTGTCCGGATAATTTTTTTATTTTTTTATTTCCCTAACTACTCACTGTCCTGATAGTGTTTGTTGTCTGTTTGTTGACTGCAAATGAATTTGCATGCATATTGAGTGGATCAAAGGTTTAAAAATTGGACAATGTTTGAATCAGTCTTGCATAGATTCTAGCTTTTAATTTTATAGTATATCTCATTTTTAAAGTTTATTCTTATTTTTGAGTTATGTGAAGGTAGGGGGAGGGGTTGAAGATACCATCCTTCTTTTCTTTAAAGCATTTATTTTTTATTAATTAGAGTATATACGCTGAAAATAATGTTTCTGGTGACTTACAAAGTAGTAATGAAATTTTATAACGTTAAAATGATTCATTATTCCTTTTGGGTAGTGTTTATTTATTTATTTGTCAAAAATAAAATGTTGAACTGATCTTGTGTCTTAGTAAAACTTGAATGCTGGCATCTTCCTGTTAATGAAGCATGTGTGCTATCAGAGTAATGTGGTGTAACTTTCACACAGCAGTGTTGGCATTACCTATGCATGATCAGTTTTAAAATGGTTTGTACTACAGAAGTAAATTATATAGTATATAAAAATACTTTATACAGTATTTTTCTGCTTAAAAATTTTAAAATATGTCCTACCTGTTCTTCTATTTTTGTGCATGTTGGTAAAATCTGTATATTTTTGTGTGTTTATCTAAGATGCAATTTAAAAACTTATATTTCTCTAAAGGTGGTCCAAATGATAAGCATCCAAAATGTTGAAATTATATTTTGGAAACATTTTGTGTGGTTGTCTGATTTATATCATCATACAGGGAAAATGTCTGTCCTTCCTCCGTAATTGTCCTGGTAAATTTCATCATAGAGAGAATTCATAGAACAGAAATATATAACTCATTTCTGTTCAAGCATCTTTAATCAACTGTAAGCAAACCATTTGTTATGCAGACTTTTTTTAAGGAGGATTATAATTTTCGGTAGACTGTTTTTAATATTCCTTTAATGTAAAGATTCTTTGCAAGTTAAATCAAGTGGACAGGGCTATATCAAGCCAGCAAGGCACATTTTTAGGGGCACTTGATGTTGTTCACTTCCCTATGCTTTGCAAGAAAAAAGGTGATTATCAAAACATATAGGTTATTCTTTAAGGTCTGTCCAAAACCTGGGACATAGATTCTGACCAAGTAGACTTTAGCAACAATCAAGCTATAATTGAAGAAGTTATCCATGAGACTTCTTATAGAAAATTTTCTGTGGCTCTTAGTTTTTAGCCCCAGAAATAGAGTTATGTTAAGTTGAAGGTTGTCTTTCAAGTTAGGCATGCCTGTAAGCACTGGCTGCTATGTACACATAAGCAGTACAGAAGGAAATACTATGAGCAGCTCTGATATTGCAAAGCCAGAAGTACATGGCAAATGCTTTCCAATGTGGAGTTTCATTATAGTGGATGCTTTCATCTGGGCACTTGTGTATGTTAAAAAATGTTAAGTCTTTTTTTTTTTTTTTTTTTTTTAATGTAGTTACATTTAATTAGCTTTCAAGTTTGTACTTCTTTAATGCATGATTGATTTTTTTCAGTATGCATGTAAAATTTTTTCTTTATGTAAACATGAAATAATGTGTTCATACTGTACTTATCATATGTTCCGTACATATATTTAAAACATAAATGGAACGTAAAGTCAGCAGTCTCAATACCTAAACTTAAAAGAGATTTTAGTTCAGTAGATTAGAGAAATAATTTGTAGCAAATCATGATTAATGCAAACTGAAGGCTTCCTTATGGAATAATACTATATTAATAATTTTCTATATTTATTTATTTATACCAAACCATAATTTTTTTTATCATTTTACATTTCAGTCAAAGAAGTTGCAAAGTTTTGAATGTGAAAATTTTTACTTTACCTATGCAACTTGTAGTCCAGTGATCAATTATCTTCTGAGACATGGTTGTGTGTTACTTGTCTTGCCTCCTAATGTGGAATGCTAAACCTGCATGTTTATATCATCAGTATCTTATTTTTTAAGCTGCATAAATATATATAAATATAGCCTGTTATGTTTTACTTTCTCTTTGCATTGAAAGTTATGAAATATGTTAAGTGATACATGAGTGTTGCTTCTCTTTTACTGGCCTTTTTTTAAGATTATTTATGTATATTTTAGTCTTTTTCATTTTTAATAAAATAAAATTATTATAATTTTATTACAATGCTTTGTTGTCACCAGATATATTTTAATTTTATTTAATTTTTTCAGTAGGTAAATAAGTCCTTTCTTATTAATAAATTTCCATGATGTCCTTGAGTGGTGGTATGTGTTCATGCATAATTTTTACTTTCCTCAATAACAGATTTCATTTCTAGCAGGGAACAACAATACTCAGTTTGACATGGTGCAAGACAAGAAAGAGTTATCCACAGAAATACAGTGTAAGTCATGCACAAAAAAATTGGCACCTTTTTCCCACTGTAATTTAAAAACTGTTTTGCAGACCACCACTTTTGCAGTTGAATTATTTCAAAACCATTTTTATGTGAGTTGGTTTAATAATCATAAATTGATACTCATGATATTTTAAATTGAAACATGATATTCATATTAAAACTAGCTCTGTGACAAAGGAGAAAAGAATCAAATTTCATGCTTTTCATGTTTTAATTTGTGCTATAGAAGATTTGCTGCAAATTGGATTTCTGTGTTAATTTTTTTAAATAGTTGACGCTCCTTATAAAGACCCCTCTCTGCAGAAAAGAGTGCTTATAAGGAAAATGGATTAATTTGTTATCAGAAGGAGTCTTCTTGAATTGGTGACTATAATGGAATGACCACTATGAGAGGTTGTGATAGTGAGCGCCAACTAAATTTATGTGCTATGTTCAGGGTGATTGTAACTAAAATTGGCTTGGATTTGTAATCTGTAAGTGGATTGATACCAAATTTTATATGTGTGTTGTTCAAAGGATGTAGAAAAAGATACTGGGGAGGGGGGAAGCTTAACATATTCTACAAAATAACTTGCCCCAGGATGCCCACTCTGAGTATACTTTTGCTTATCTCCTCAATTTATAATGCCAGCTATGAATATACTTGCAACAAATGTGTTAATTATACATATTGGTCACCTGGGGTAAGAATAGTAAATATGTATTAGTAAAAGAGAAATAAAAAAAATAAGATATATTTATTCATAAAATAATATAAAATTTGCATTTTTCAGGAAAGCTGCTGTAACCTTACTAATCTGTAGGAATAAATTTTAAAAATGCATATAAAAGAATTATGTAATTGAAAAACATTCATGTATAATATTTTCTGAAGCATTCTTTGTTTTGTAAGACAGAGTTTCCTTGGGAAAGTATGTTGCCTTTGTACTGTGTTTTCCTGTAGTGCACCCATGGCAACATTTTCTTGTTCTGGCTTTTTTCATCAGTGGTATGGATTCCAATCTGTACTTTTTATTAAGAAATTTTAAAAAAAAGGTTGGATATTTATCTTTATTTGACTGACCCATAAATCTTCCTGATAATTTCAGCATTTTGTTTTCGACATTCCATCTCTGTTGCATTTCATTGTAATATATCATAAGGCCATGTGCATAATGTTTGTATGTTTCCCTGCTTAAAAAAGCTAGATTACTGAGTGTGGCGTCTCAAGTCAGAATGTGTGTATGCCCTGCAGTATTCATTGTGCTAAAACAAGGTGCTTAATGGCAGAATGTAAAAAAGAAACCTTTTAAATGAAGCAAACCACAAAAGTATTTTAAATATTTATTATAGCATTTACAAGCATTACTAATGAAATTAGAGGGGAAAAAAGTGTCTCTCTAAGTGCTGACAGCAAAAGGAAGCACTATCTGATTTGCTTAAGTGTATGAACTGTAGTTTACATAATTCATGTAATCAGATACTAGAAGCATTAACTCTTTAGTAGTGGAAAGTTTACAAATGGTAGTGTGAGCAGATGTCACGAAGATGGCCTGAACATCCTTTCGTGCATAGTGTACCTTCCTCTATTTATGCTAATGCATGTCTTATTGATTTGGGAAGTTGCTGAACAAGTTCTCAGCCATTCTATTATTATATCTGCTTAATTGGCAGTCTACCCTAAATGATCCAACATTGCATTATATTCACTTTTTTCTTTTGTTCAGTGCAAGAGTTTCCAATTAATTACCTGGCTGATTTGTTTTATCACTTACAGTCTGAAAGTGTTCTTTTTTCTGCTGTATAGTAGTAAAATGCTTGGGTCATGTAAAATTTTAACTCAGGAAGAAATAATTGCTGTATTATTTGATAAGGCAGATAAATCTGATTATATTGAATCTGATGAAGATGATAGAAATGAAAAGTAAGAGTTGATTCGTAATCAGAATAATTGTAAACATATTTATCCTTTTGAAAAATCTGTTTGTAAAGCAAAGAAAAATTGGATTTTTCAGAAGGCAATCTCAAACTAAGTTGAATGAATACCATCAACAATGAAAGTATGAAGTTTAAAACTTCCTTTTCATTATTGATCTTTGTCATGATTTGCTATTGAGATGATTTGCTTCAGATTAATTTAAATTGCTTTTTTTTGGATGAATTCTATGAATTAATCAGAGATCACAAATAGGCTGAATTCTGTGGGGGAAAAAGTGATGCTGAAGATATGCATTCTGTCAATGAGATACGAGTTTTCAATAACAGTTCTATTAGTATTATGAACATTATGCATTTACCAGTAAATAATTATTGGTCTCGGAATCCGATATTTAGCAATGAAATTATAAAGAAATTGATGATTAGAAATAGATTTTTGAAAATAAAACATTATTTTCATAGCTGAGGTAGAGAAAAAGAAGTAAAGGATAACTTTCCAAATTTGACTCTTTTAAAAAAGGTTATAGCTTTTTGCTTTTTATGCCTTTATCAGATCCAGTGATGCAAAATGTTTTACAAGAAATGCATTTCTCACAGAAACCCCAAAACTGAAGGGACAAAAGTTGCTTTCAGCTATCTTTTTCACTGTTTAGCTATAATATTTCATGATCCATCTGAGGAATATTGACAGCCCTGTTTCACATATCTAACTGCAGTATTTCATAATTCTCTGTGTGTGGGCAGGGGGGGTACTGGCAGCTCTGTTACATGTAGGAGAGGAACAAAAAAAAAAATGTTCTATTTCTGGCCAGTCTTTCTGGAAAAAAATGCGATTGTCAAAAAAGTTTCTTATTGAATTTTGAATCGATATGTCAGTTGATATAACAAAGTTAAAGACGTTATATGTCGGCCTTCAGCTTTTCTGTCTGGTCCCCTATGAAATGAGTGCAGTTGCCATCTCATGTAAATTTAACAATTTAACCATTTAATAATTCTAAGTGAAAAATACCTTAATTGCTGTTACTTGGAACAACTTTGATGGTACTCTAAATATCTGCTTGTGTCATTTGTTCATAAGAGCAGGCAGGCTCTAGGTGAAAATCATTGTGTTCACTAATGTGAACTTGTATATAAGTTGTAGGTTATGAATAATGTGCTTGATAGCTTATGGCAACTGATCTTATGTGATGCTTTGCACCTAAATGAGATTTGCTGCCTCCAGGATTCTCATTCACTTGGAAAACCTGGAAAATGATGAGGGAAAGCTTGAAAAAATGTAAATATTTTTCAAAAAATCTATGAGATTTAAAATAATATAAATCAGTCCCATTAAGTAATATTAAGTTCATATTTTAAAATTGGTAACAATGAAGAAATTTTATCCCTTTTAATATTCAAAACAAATGAAGAATTAAAGTATTTTTTCCTTGTAGAAAGTATTTTATCCACCTTGCATCTGATAAATCTTATTAATCAGGTCTGTCAGAATAACAGGTAAAATAAATTGATTTTTAAGTGGTTATTTTTAAATTAAATTTTTGTAATATTCTCGGATATTTCAAGTAACTTTGTAGTAAATAAAGGCATTCAGTTACTCATGCTTAATTTGATTAGCTCCATCTTTTTTTTTTAATGAGAAATCATTTAGTTTTGTCATGGAAAATAAGGAAAGATCAAAGAAATTTCAGTAGAAACCCTGCCTTCAAATTCTGTAATAGTTGCAACAGCTATTTTTGCAGCCCCTGACCTCAGTTACAGGAAACGAGTACTTCAGCAAATGTGACCAGGCAAATAGGAAACAAATGAATAATAATGCAATTACCAGTAAAATGTGTGTGAAAAATTTATTATATAAGCATCCAATTGTTAATATAAAATGATGGCTGCTAGGCATTACTGTTTTAGCAATACAAACATCTACGTGATATTATATCTGCCAGTCATCCATAACTGGTTGCTTCAGAGCCATTAGCAATAATTTCTACAGAGATTAACTTGATGAGAAAATATGAATATAAATTCACACCAGAATATGGCTGTAGGCAAATGTAGTGACATTTCCTTGAGAACAAAATTTTCATAAGCCAATATTTGAGAGTTCTGAGTTTTCTCATTGCTCAGATAAAAATGTACTCTCTTGCTTCAAAAAATATTCTACAGATTTGACACATATGTATCTGTTTACTGTATTATTATAAACATGAGTCCAGGTTTTTGTTGCCATTGCATAGCTGTTGATTGTTGTTGACCTTAAGTAGAATTGCAGCACTTTTCATATTGTACAATAAAATGTCTAAATGTTAAACACTGGTGTAACTGGCACAAGATGCTGTTAACTGCTTGAAACTAGCAGTTACAAAATCTTCAACAGCTTGTGCACAGATTGATATGAGCCCTGTAAGCTTGAATTCCTAATTTTTTAGTCATCATGAAGCACATAATATTTTTCCAGGCATTTTATGGAGACATGTTATGTTTGCAGGTGGTTCTTTAAGAGAGATTTTATTCGTAATGCTTGTAAAGTTCTGTAATAAACGTTTAACATTTTTTCTATGTATATATAAGGTAAAAAATATGTAAATCAGCTTTATAATTTAATTTAGCAATTCCCTCTTAATTCCTCATTTTTTATTTGGGTATTTCCTCTCTATTTAAAAAATCATAATAGCTTATCTGGACTGCGTCATTTCTAGATCAGTCTATGTCACAAGGTTTGCGTAGCACTGATGACGTAGCTAATTTGGAACCTGAAGTCAAAATTTCGAGAATTGAAACTTTTTTCTTAACAAGCAACCTGAACCCAAACCTTCTCTTGGTGAGCCTCCATATTTGATTTAATTGTGCACTTTTGCTTCTACCTTTGTTGCTACTTGGATCCTGTTTCGCTCTGCTCCTTTTTTTTTTTTTTTTTTTTTTTTTTTTTTTTTTTTTTTTATCGCAACAGTGTGAAAAATATCAGTGTCCTTGAGTAGGCACAATTGCCAAGTAAATGTGGTCAGAAATGTCAATTGAATTATCTGCTTCGACTGCCAAGTTTGCTGTTCATTACGGATTCAACATTTTAGTAA